TTGTGAAGCTTATTCGTAAAGATATTAATGGCCAACTTTTCTTGTGCTCTCCAGTACTACTACAGCATCAAAGATATCAGCATTGGAGGGCGCTGCGTCTGCCATGGCCACGCAGATGTCTGTGATGCCAAAGACCCTAATGACCCTTACAGGTACGTTTTTCAAAGTCCCAGTTCTATGTAAAAGTGTTTGAATTGTTGTGCTAAGAATGAAAGATACCAGCGTGAGTTGTGCTGTGTCTGACCTCATAATTGTGCCAGCACTGTTGTTCATGGCTCTACCCTGAGAATGAACTTGAAACTGGCCTAGCCAAAGTAGCAAAAACTAAACGTTTTGTCAGGCTTTTTTTCACCCAGATCATCTCCGTTGTGTGGTTTCCCTGCCCACAACTTTGCCATCCCTATGGGAGCAGAGTGCTGGAACGGGGGGTGGGTGTGCAAAGCCAACACCGTTGTTGAACATGGAGGTTTCTCATCAAAGCCCAGGCTTGGTTTCTGAACTTATTCAGGGAGGTCTCTTGCTTCCCATGTGGCTTCTTAAAAATCGGGGCAGTGGTCTCATAAATAATGGTCTCCCAAGAAACCATAGATTCTGCTGTCCAGTTCTACTCATAAGAACCATAGATCAGTTATGTGTATAGCTAAACAAATACTGTTTGCAAAGGAACAAGGGCATGCAAAGCAGTTACATTTTGGCTCACGGGACTCTTCTCATCCGCCTTGGCAGCTTGAAATGCCAAAGAACTGCTTCAAACCATGAAAGTGTTGCTGCTTTGCCATCTGTTTGCAGCCTGAATGTTGCCTTTATGAAAGGGATGGGTAGATTCAGCTGGACAAGGGAAGCTTATATTTCTTTCTCATCAGGATCATGTAGAGCTTTTGGATCTTCTAAAATAAAATTCCAGTGAGTCCCAGCCAAGGTTAAAGCTGCTAAGTATTAAAACAAAGATGTATTGGTAAGCAAATCTGCCCTAGTTTGCCAAACTCTGTGACAAAGGGAAGTTCATAACTATTTGAATGTACAGTTCCTTGGTTTTGTTTTGGATTTTGGTGTTACTGGATGCACAGTACACCTGTGTACCAGGGCAAAAGGGCTTCATGATGCAAAGTGATTCTTTACTGTAGAAACACCATGACATTTCTTGGCTATATCGATGGGTCAGGGCTCTCCAGGAAGGGAGGGAAAATTGAGAAAGGAGAGATTTGTTGGGATCCTTGTTCAATGCCACTTTTGCTGATGACTGCCTTCCAGAATTCCCCTCCTCCACTCTCGTTTGGAAGCATTTGGCACCTTTGCTCTTGGCCCCAAACTGTGCTCTAATGTTGCAGCACATGTTCATAAGCAGCTGTTGTGTTTCACCCAGAGCAGATCACGCTTGCCAGGAGGAGAAAACATTTCCTACTTGGGTGCTTTGTACAGTCAGCACATAACATCTGTAAAGCCCTTTGGGATACATCAGGACAAAGATGCTGGGGAAATAGAACTTCTCATGGCATTGCTGTACCCTTTTAGCAAGCCCAGGAGCAGGGAGAAGTCAGCAGAAATGTGATACTTTCAGTTGAGAAAATGAGTAATCGGTGAAATGCTGCCATTCTCCAAGACTCCAGCAGTAGCTGTGTCCAGCCTTCCTGCTGAAGCGGGCGCTGCTGGGCGGTCATCCCACCCCTCCTGCCCTGATGTACGTGGAGCCAGCACGGTGATACCTGCCATAACGCTGCATGACAAGAGGCATCGCAGGGGCAGCTGGGGCTCGGACACACTGTCCCTTCGTGTCATGGGCCCCAGCTGTCAGAAACATATCATTCCTTCAGAAATCTATGCGACCCATCTGAGTAGGTGCGATGTGTCCCTCTGCACGTGTCCTGCCCCTTCAGATGTTGACGTGTGACAGCAACAGGGCAAGGAAATGCAAATAGAGGGAGACAAGGAATGTGAATTGGCCCGGCCCTATTAAAAATCCCAGTTATGTCTGAGCCTGTCTGGGAGGTCTCTGCGTCTCATTTTAACTTCTCTCTTGTGCACATGCCTGTGTTCCTTGTGCCTGTTGCCCAGAAAGGCAGGATGAGCACTTTGATAGAGGTGAGGTGAGCTAGAAATCTTGGCAAAGACTTTAGGACGTGATGGAGCATGTTTGTGAGCTGACTTCCTGGCCATAAATGATAATGTTTATCCAGCTTTGGAAAGTTTCTCTGGAGTGCCAAGTTACAGAGGCTGCACATCCAGCTGTGTTAAGTTGGCAGCATGTCTGGTCCCCGTGTGAGTGTGTGTCTGTAAGCGACAACAGTGTGTGGGCAGGTACCGCCTCCCCAAGGGTCCTTTGCACTTTTCACAACTGTCTGTCTTTGCCTTGAGATCGAATGGGCTGAATTAATCAGAGGGAAGGAAAGTTCCTTTGGTTAAAGGTGAACACCAGCAGGATCAGGCACAAACCTTTCTCCTGGCAAACCCCTGTGAGCAGTCAGATAAGCATCAGCAGGGACCTGGCACGTTGCAGACAGAGAGCACGGGCAGGAATCGTGTGTTAATGTGCGTGGTGTGAGCTCAGGAGGACCCTGCAAGTGCTCTGCATCTGTCTGATAAGAGCAACTGTTCCTGAGTTCACTACCCCATCGTGGATACCACAAGCAAGAGAGGAGACAACCAGAGAGTCCAGCTGCTGCTTCTGTGCCTGATGCTGAAGATAACCAGCAAGACAAGAGCAGCCTGGCTGATCAGCAGCAGATCTGCAGGAGGAGATCAAGGATGCTTTCCCACTGCTGGATTCTGAATGCTAGCTTGCTCTTGCCCAATTTGGAAGGGAAAGCACCATGTGTGCTGGTAGATTTGTGCTGTCTGTGAGTCCCTTTTGCAGGTGATTTTCCCTCAGTAGTCAGATGCAGTTAGAGGAAGGGGCTTTTTTTCTTGATTGTGCTACTCAGATGTCCTGGCAAAATCCAGATGCTGTAGCACTTGTGTGCTGCTCTCAGCTCTGACACAGCTGCTTGCTGGAAACTGTTTATACTCTCTGCTATTGAGCATCAGTTCCAGTGGGAAGACTGTGGCTTTATTTTTTACGGCAGGATGACCAGGAAATATGTGCTATGTGAACACAGCCACTCCCTCCTCTTCCTTGTATATATTCAGTCAATGAAACATGTAAATATTATAGCTTATGCACATTTGTCCATAAGTCATTAGCAGCATGGACTCGGCACAAGGTGCCGTAAAGCTGCCGTGACAGATGAGCTCTCTGAGAGGTCATTGCTAACTCTGGACAGCAGAGACTAAATAAATAGCTCCTTCTCCATCTGAAGTGTGCATCTTTGCTCATTGAGTGCCATCTTTTTGCATTCTTGGAACTGAACCAGTGCTTCTCAAACATCTTGAACATTAAAGAGCTGGAGTGTGTGGCTGGAGCCACGTCCTCCAGCCAGGGAGATTAGCACTGCTCGGGAGGTTTATAAGTTCTCTGACTCAGTGACCATCTTTCTCCATACATACGTTATATGGATGTTAATCTTGATCTCCAGCTGCTGCCATGGAAAAAAAAAACCATAAAATTTTGTTTCCTTGCAAATGCTGAGTGGTAGTCAGCCAGGTGAGAGGTGTGTGGGTGGTTTCATTACAGAGGCATGGCCAAAGTTTGCCTCTCATTCCATCTCCCTCTTGGGTTTGCAAAACACAGGGAGAACAAAGTTCCTGGTGAATGTTTCAGGGCTCATTTCTGCCGCGTAGCCTCCAGCCAGCCTCTCGGGGCTCGGTTTCATGCCTGGGCTCTGCAGGCCACAGCCCAGCCTGCAAATGCGGGTAGGGACAGGGCATCATGAGTGCTCGAAGAGCTGACTGTGGCCGAGCGTTTCATGGCGCCTGCGAGAGGAGGACTGCCAGCGGAGCTGGAGCAGGGCCGGCACCTCCTGCCTCTCAACCCCTCTGGCTGAAGCAGACATGCTGAGTGGGGATCCTGCCCGCGTTCTTCTGAACTTTCAGATCATCCCATATTTCATTAAAATGAGTTCACTTGTCCCATGCCGCTGCCTCTGGCTGACTATTCACCGTACATACACTTGCAGGTCCCACACCTTAAAAATACATGTAGGTGGAAACCAGGACATTCAGCTACTGCAGCCATGGAAGAGTATGTCTGCACCCCTGATTGCACCCAGAATGACTGCTCCATTTGTTTCTAATGTTTTAAAAAAATACATTCATTTTTAAACACTGCTTTTGAATGGAAAAGCATTGGAGGAGGGAGAGATGGGAGTGGCAGATCAGCCCTGAGGGGAAATGAGTAATTGCACAGATAAAAGCTGGAACATGCTGTATTATCCATAAGTCTAATACAACAGAAAGCGTTTGTGTTGGATGGGAATCGCCTTCTGCTAAGTGGAAGTTTTGGAGATGATGTCACTGATGTTAATGAATCACCGTTGCGGTCGAGCAGGGACGAGATCCATCGGTCGACCGTCGAGGTTTCTTGCCTGGCGCCTCCGGAGCCGCCTGTTTACCCAGCACAGCCCTGCCTGTGCCAGCTGAGAAAATCAGGAGGCGCATTTCACAGGGAGTGTGGGGCCAGCATCTGCTAAAAGACTTAATTCAAATTTCATGGTCTTCCTCTCTGTAAGCACAGGTATACCTGGAGGAGCAGTTGAGACCCATGTGGCTCCATCCCTCTCCAGCTCTGGGCTATCATTTATTCCTTTCACACTGCCCCTGCACGGTGGTGGGGACATCTTCATGTCCTTGTACCATGCTGCTCCCTCTCAAGTAATTTGCTTCAGCTCAGGTTTCAACTACTGCCATCTGTAACCATTTCACATTTTATTGTCTGCAGAGCTGACTAGGCAGTGGCACTCCGACTTTTTTTTTTAATTAATCCTTGTTTCTCTGTAAAGAAAAGAGGAGTGATGGTGGAGAGAAGGAAGGGAGGGAATGGCACTAGAAGAGCAAAGTTTGGTGTTTGGCTCAGAAAAAAATAATCAGCAATTCAAAAGTGGAGAAAAAAAAAAAAAGTCCTTTGCTGCCTCTTTTCTAGAATATTTTGATTAATGAATATCACTCGTTTGTGTATCTGACTAGTGATACTTATGCATGGTGGGGTTATGCAGCAGCTCCCCATCCCACACATCTCTGTTGGCGTGCCAGGCTTGGCTGTACCCCGTTCCTCTCCCTTGCAGGCTGCAGTGCGACTGCCAGCACAACACCTGCGGCGGGTCCTGCGATCGCTGCTGCCCCGGCTTCAACCAGTTCCCATGGAAGCCTGCCACTGCCGACAGCGCAAACGAATGCCAGCGTAAGTTGGAGTTGGGTTTCTCCTTCCTTTTCCAGCTGCTTTGCAAACCACAGATTGACCACGTTTCCCCAGCCCCCTGACGCTGCAGTGCAGAGAAGCCGTTCACCGAGATGGTTGGTTTGGTGGTGTGTGGCGCTGAGCGGAGATCGCTGGCGCTGCAGGCAGGACAGTTTGCGCAGGGGGTAATTGTGCTCAGTCAAGGCTCGCACAGGGAGGCCCACTAGGTCTGTACGGGACTTTGATTCTGCTTATGTTCCAGTTCCTCCTCCATGTCCAAGGGTTCGTGCAGGCAAGTCTCATTGCTCAATTCTGTCTCAGAGATGAATTGCGTTTGGATGTGTTTACATACAGGACATCTTTATTTGTCTAGAGAAACCTTTGGTAAATGCCGACAGTGGAATTTATGCTGCACTGGAAATGCAGAGCATGGAGCATAGCTGCATCACACGATCTCTTATAAACGCAGGGTGGCAGAGGACAGTTGGATCTTAATCCTGTGGGTTTATAAAAAGCACCCTCACCATGTGCTGAACTTTATAGCTCACCTCCATCCCGGATGGCATAAAACAGGCAAGAATGTTGCCCTCTAAACCAGACTATTTGAGGCCCCAAAGTTGGGTAATTTCTCGTCTCTACACGCCTGCACATATTTTACTTCTGATTTTGTGCCTGCTGTGTTTTTCCGGTTGCAGACTAGACTTTGTGAGAGAGTCGCTGCTTCTGCACTTTTGAACTGGAAGACTTATGGGAGTTTGGGTGATCTTGTAATCCCCCAAATGCATTCAAGCATCTTTCCACATTGAAAAGTAACCCATCTAATGTCAAACCCACAAGGAAGAGTGGAAGATCACCTTGCGATCCAGCTGGTGACTGAAGGACCTCTGTCTTAGCTAATGTCTCTTTGTATTTTCAGCTTGCAATTGCAACGGCCATGCCTATGACTGCTACTACGACCCAGAAGTGGATCGCCACAAAGCCAGCAAAAGTCGCGAAGACAAGTTTGAAGGGGGAGGTGTTTGCATTGACTGTCAGGTAGGCCTGAAGAGCTCCCACAGAAAAGGCTGTTGCAGATTCTCCTGTTCATTTCTGCTGTCAGCCTGGAGTTACGCTTTGCTGGCAGCCCCACTAACTTCATCACACACCCTCTGTTGTCTTCATTAGATCTCTCCCTGAAAATTTAGTCTCTTTGCCATAGGTCAAAGGAGTGTGCAGCAGTAATGAAAACAGCACTTGGGTTCCTAGCTGTCCCCTGGTAGTGCCATTACCTTTCTGATGCTTTAGGGTTAGGTCTGCTGAGGCACTGTGCATTGGGAGGGAAAGGTTGGTGCTGGGCACCTTGGGAAGAGCCTGCCTAGTTTGCCGTGCTGAGGTGCTGCCATCTCTCTCTGATCACCAAAATGTCAATCTCCTCAGTCTCTGAAGTTCCCAATGAAAGTGGGAAAGTAGGTCTTCCGCTCCCAAGGTAACTGTGAGCTGATGAATTCATGCAGTGGCATGAAACTTTTAGCTGTGCTTTTTTGCTGGGAGGAACCAGATTGCTCCCGTCGTCCTAGCACAAAGCAGTCAGGACGTTTTATCGTCTGAAGCAAGTGAAATGGGCTTGAGGTCAGATATGAACCTGAAACTCAGGCTGGGCTTATGGGAGGACACGCAGTTTGCAGGAGATGCTTAGTTTTCAAATCGATGTATGTGGAATTTTGAGCAGATTTAAGTCTTCTGTGTGCTGACACTTCTGAGTTTCTTCCTCTGGACCCTGAAGCAGTTAATAAATCTGGCAGATAAACATGAATTCCTAGAGGAACTGATGCCCGGCTAACCCAGTGTCTTTCAGCATCACACCACTGGTATTAACTGCGAGAGGTGCATCCCAGGATACTACCGGTCCCCTGACCACCCGATCGACTCTCCGTACATTTGCTATCGTGAGTGTGATTTCCTCTGCAGGCTGGGGAGGGTGGTCTGAAGGATTGGGCTGAGAGATTTTTCTGGCGTAGCTCTGACGCATTGGCTGTTCTGCACTGCATCCTCGCGGCAGTGTGCCACCACCACCTCTCCAGGGAAACTGAGGTTTCCTGGAGAAGCAAGTTGGGGCTGTGCTGCTTTACTTGGGACCCTGCAGTGGGACAAGCACAGTGGGAGCAGTTCCTCTAAGGCAGATCCCGTTGAAGAGACAAAATCACACTTTTTGTTTTTGGAGAGAATTTACAGCAGATGGCGAGGTCTCTTATGGAGGCTCTGTATCACAGTGATGCTCGTGGCTGGCCAAGGGTCTCAGTCAGTGACAACCACTGCTGGCTTGTCCCTCTCTACAGGCTGTAGCTGTGAGTCTGACTTCACTGATGGCACCTGTGAGGACCTCACCGGCCGCTGTTACTGCAAGCCCAATTACACTGGGGAGCACTGCGATGCCTGTGCCGAGGGATACCTCAACTTCCCCCACTGCTACCGTAAGTGGGGGGTGCGGGGCCATGGGGTGGGCAGGTCTGGGACACCACAGACTCAGCAGGTGCAGGAAGGGCCAGCAGTTCCGGTTGGTGCTGGTCCCCAGGTGCCTTTTCCCTGTGCCACATGGTACTCCTGTCCTAGGGAGAGTTCCTGCGGGTGGGAACAAGCCTGCATATGGCTTTGGTGGAAGCTGGACCAGAGCTGAGCTGGGCTGAACCCAGCTCTCTGGAGTCAACAGGCGCTCCCCATTTGGCTGGAGTCTCATCTCTCACTTTCTGTGAAAGACATCTTTCCAGAGCCCAGGTTAAAAAATGGTCGTAATGGATGTTTGTTTAGTGGGATGTCTGCACTTTGTTCCGTGTTCCAGGTTTTCCTTCGGCCTGTTCAGCTTTGGGACCGTCAACACATTGATATCCTGACAGGATTTCTTTGAACGTGCATGATGACCTGTGCAATGTCTCTTTCTTTCTCCTTGTAGCCATTCCAGCTTTCACTCACAATGATACTGGAGAACAAGTGCTTCCTGCAGGACAGATAATAAGTAAGTAGTGCAATTTTTCTTGCTGCTTTGGCAATCACCGTGCTTTATTACTGTTATATCTCAGCACCCAGTGCAAGATCAGGTCTTCAGCTTACTGGGCACTTCCGTTGTAAGAGGCAGCCCTGACACAGAGTGGTCCTGAGAGAGGAGGCAGCTTGAGGGGTGGGGGAAAGGAAGCTTTATGATCCCTTTTTCATAGACAGGGAAGCTCTAGTCCAGAGCGGCCATGTGATTGTGTGCTTTTTTCTGAGGTCCAGGCCATGTGGGACATTTCTTCTGGCCTCCCTGAGATCACAGAGGGGCTGTGGCTGAGCTGGAACCTGAGTTGAGTTCTCCCAGATCTCAGCCTCTGGGTTTAGATACAAACCTGTCCCCCTGCCACACTGCATGCCCTGCCTTTCCACGTGGTGGGCGGCACAGCGGGTCCGTGCCGATGGCCCCTCGGCATGAAGCTGTGGGTAGCGCTGCTGCGGCGCCCGGGAGGTGGCACAGGTGGCAGCTCGCTCTGCGTCACTTTCTCTGTTGTTTTGAAAGCTCGCCCATGCCCTCATCCTGCTCCCCTTCACCTCCCTCCTCTCTCATGCTCGCCTCTCTTGGTTCATCTCCTTCCTTGTGTTTTTTTTCATGTCTCTTCCCACCAAGTCCTCCCCTGTCTCATGCTCCCCAGTGCACTCCAGATAACCTTTTCCTTCCTTCTGATATTTTAAACTCTGTATCTTCCAGACAGGTTTTTCTTTCCTGAGCTGGAATTTCTCACTTCCCTCCTCATTTCCCCTCCTCCCCCTCCCCCTGGTTCTTGGATGCTTTTTGCCCTTCCCTCTCCCAGCCCAGGAGCCCACGCCGGTGCCGTTGGTGAAGGCAGGGCTGGCCGAGGGCCTCGGCGCTGCTGGTCCAGAGCACCCGCCTGCCCGGGCAGCAGGAAGGTCTCAGAGGCAGCTGAGCATGGAGTGACCAGAGAGAAAGCCCAAACCCCACCCTGGTTAGCTGAAGGCTTTGCTTATTGCTGCACAGCTCTTGGGCAGTGCTGCATGAAATCAGCCCTGTCTGGGCTTGTGCAAGCGGCGTTCGTCTGCCCTGTGCATTGCGCTGCTGCCCGTCCAGCACCTTGCACATCGACATGATGCTGAGGTCTCCCAGCCACCCTGCGACCCCACGAGCCAGGCGTGCTGGTCACCTGAGCAGGGTCTGGTTAAAACGTTTGCATCTGGTGGGAAGGTTGTTATGAGGCAAATGCTTGAGCTGTTGCCTCTCACGGCAACTCCTTCCCTGTCCTTATGGGACCTCTGCCCAGCAGCAGAGATGGGCCAACAGCCACGTGTGGCGTTGCTGGTTGTGTGTCCCCACTCCAGACTGCGATTGCTACGCCGGTGGGACCGAAGGCAACGCCTGTCGCAAAGACCCTCGGGTGGGGAGGTGCGTGTGCAAACACAACTTCCAGGGAACACACTGCGACCAGTGCGCCCCAGGCCACTACGGACCCAGCTGCCAGCGTGAGTGTCTTGGGGTTAGCGGCCACAAACTCGCCCTGCTCGCCTCCCTCCTGGGGAGGAGTGTGCCTCTCCCCATCCTCCGCTCCTGCTGGGGGGGGGAGGAATTCTCCAGCCCCACTTCCAAGTGACAAATTCCCATGACTTTTGATGGTATTTTCCACCCAGCCCTGACTCTCAGGCATCCTCCCAGCCTGGGGGGGGCTCTTGAGAAATTCCTTACGGATGTGAGCTACGGGCTAGGCATGCTTGCTGTCAGCTGTGTCCCCCATGGTTTCTCCAGCGAATGCATTTCTACCCCAGAGGAACAGGCGCTCCGATTCCTTTCCTAGGAAGGGAAAAGACTAAGAAGCTGTTTATTTACTAGTGCCCTTGTTGCTTTCCAGCCTGTCAGTGCTCCGGCCCCGGTCAATACGATGGCACCTGTGACAGAGAGACAGGGCAGTGTCTGTGTCGAACAGGATTTGAAGGACATTCGTGTAACCAGTGCGCTCCCGGCTACTTCAACTACCCTCTGTGCCAGCGTGCGTATCTGTCCTCCCTTCCACCTGGGTGGTGGGCATGTGCAAAGCTAGAGTCTTCTGGCAGGGCTTTGAAGGAGGACTGGGAAGTGGTTTTGTGGGTGTTTTGGAGAATATATACAATGGGCAGAGATCGACAGTTTGAGTGCTTAGGGCAGCACCTAAATGCCCATCTGAGATTCTCAGAAAAAGACCGATAGTGCCATGAGCTTTGCCTCGTGCTCGCAGCACAGGGCAAATGGTTTCTCTGCGTTGCAGTATGTGGCTGCAGCGCGGTTGGGACGCTGCCGGGAGGCTGTGACTCCGTCGGGAGGTGTTTCTGCAGACCCGAGTTTGCTGGGCCACGGTGCGAGCAGTGCAGTCCTGGGCACCACTCCTACCCCCACTGCTACGGTAAGGATGTTAACGTTCGATTCCTGCT